ACTAGTTCTGTGAATGTGGCTTGGTGGGCCTGACATGGCTAGGTGGGTGTGGCTTGGGGGGCGTGGCAGGGAAAAGATACTGTAAAATCTCCCTTCCCTCCCCAATCCACGGGACGGCTACTGCAAAATCCCCATTTTCTCCTGATCAGCTGGGACTTGGGAGGCAGAGCATAGATGGAGGGTGGGGCCAGTCAGAGGTGGTATTTACCGGTTCTCCGAACTACTTAAAATTTCCACTATCGGTTCTCCAGAACTGGTCAGAACCTGCTGAATATCACCTCTGAAGCTGGCAAATTTTCATTTTCCAGCCTGAAATCAAATAAATTGCTATTTCTTCCTGCATTTTCAAAGCATGGTATACATTTCTCTGGCTATTTGCAAAACAAACAAACAAGTCTGAACACCAGCTGTAAAGAGGCCACTGTAACTACAAAACTGCGTACCCCTGTTGCATTTCAATACTAATTGCTAGTGTGAAGGTCCAAAGATAGCATGCTGATAATTTTACAACAAGGCACTCCTCTCAGTGGCTGTAACCATGGGTGCATGTTGCTGTGGTGGCTGGAAGGCATGAGAGGGACATGAGTTTTCTAAACAATGCCAACAGCCAGGCCTCTTGAGTAGGGGTCTGAAGATAATGGGGATGGGGATGGGAGAGGGAGATGATCCTACTCTAGCAAAATACCCTTTCCCATTACCCACACAAAAGAAGAAGAAAATAAATTCCTAGCCCTTCTTTTTCCACATTATCCACAAAGCGATTAAAAAGGAAACAAAAACACAGGCTTGCACTTTGCAGCCAAGCAGATGGGGGCGGGGGACGAGGGGGGGGATGGACACAACGACAGAAGAATTCTGATGATTTTTACCTTAGCGCTCTTTGTCCATATGGCTGCTATAAAGGGGTACAAGACATTCTAACTTCTCTTAGGAATTAGAAATTGCCCTCATCAATCCTGACTGTTTCTTAAAGGTTCCTTTCTATTTACCTGGTCATATGCATTGATTAATTATTAAAACTTGTGTGATTGCTGAAGGGGGACCTGCAAAATCATCAAGCTGCTTTTCCCCTTCAAGGATCTGCAATAATTCCCAATGTCTAAGTGGGTTGGGAAGAAAAGAATATTATGTTAATGGGGAAAGAGATTGCCCACAAACTCTGCAGAATTTAACAATTACAAAATCTTGCTTTCTACAATTTTGCCTAAATTAAAGCCGAGCCAGAACTAGACAACAGGAGACACAAAGTCCCAGAATTTATAGTTGTTGGAATGCCCTAAACTGACTAGAAAGTGAAGCTGCTTCAAGACATCTAACTGAAGAGGAGGGAATATATGTTGACCATGAGGATTGCAGTAGTGGAAAAACCACTACATCAGCACATCACACTAACCTTAAGAGATAAAATTACAAAGGAACTTTTAGGCTATCTAATCCCACCTTCTGCTCTGTACATGAATCCAGTTCTCTTAGACAAGTGGCTGTCCAGTCTCTTTTTGAAATTACATTAATTTAATTTAATTTAATAATTTAATTTTAAATTCCTGCTTGAGTCCATAATGTGAACTCTGACCTAGTGAAGAAGGCTTTCAGTTAAGAGCAATTTGACTCTTAGTGACTACAGGTAAGTCCTCAATGTATAACCATTTGTTTAACCATCATTTCAAGTTACGACAGCACAGAAAAAGGTTATTTACAACCACTCCTCACACCTCTGACTGTCACAGCATCCCAATGATCATTTGATGAAAATTTGGATGCTTGGTGACTAGCAAGCATTTATGATAGTTGCATCATCGGGGGGGGGGGGGATGTCACCTATTCACTATTTGCAACCTTCCTGGGCTCTTCCAACAAGCAAAATCAATGGGGGAAACCTAATTCGTTAACAGCTGTGTGATTTGCCTAATGGCCATGGTGATTGCTTGACAACATTAGCCAATAGAAGTTGTAAGATCAGGCACAACTCACAGAACAACCACATCACTTAGCGACAAAAGTTCCAGTCCCGATTATTGTCATAAATCAAGGTCTAGCTTTGTATCTAATAAGCTGTACATGGATGAAAGAACTAGAAGCTTAGCTTCCAAGCCCACCAAGCACTGCTCTCTCCTAAAATATTTAGATTGTTATTTTTCACGGTGTTTCTCCTTCCATCAGGACCACTGATTCTAGTGAGACTTGATGACCGCCAATTCACTTTAATATTTACAGGAAGATTACTTAATGAAGTTCACCATGCAAATTCACAATGGAAAAAATATTGCTATACATGTTATGGAATTTTATTATAAAGGGAAAAAGAACGCAAAAGTTGAAATGCAATTGTTTAATGGTCACACTGCAAAACCTGCATTACCTGATTCTGGTAGTTAAGAGGTAAGTAAGAGTCCAAAAGTGGAGGAAATGTACTTTTCTTATAAAGCTGAGAGGAGCCTGCCATACTTGAGAGCTGTTACGAAAAGAATCTGCAACGAAATGTAAACATGGAAAACACAATGTTACTACATAAATTAGATTACAACACTGCTGACCTCTTAAATCAACATTAGGCATTTGTCTAAACGCTTTGTTCCTGACCAACACATTGTTCACCTAAGCAACGTATTACCTGAGCAACTCAACTCTCTGAGATCTGCACAAGCACCACCTTAGATGAAACAAAGGAAGGCTTTATTGCTAGATTTTATTGAATAATTATAATTCATTATATATTTATGTAATTATGTTTTCCATTTGATAAATATTAAATTTATTTCAGGATGTAGAATTTGCTGCAGGGTTCTTCCATCAAAGAAGAGTTTTAAAAAACCCAGGACCAACTGAAGTATGATTACATAATGGACAATTGTCTATTTTTCTGAACTTAATCCATTTAGTTTGGTTCAAGTATTTTACTGGGCCATAGTTTGTCTAGGTTCCATGAACCTTAGAATTATATACAACATTAAGGCACAATCCTAAATGAAACCAATAATCTGAGCTGGACGACTATTGAATAGCAAGAAAGACGCAAAAGCCTCTAATGAACTTTTGCAGTGCATAATTAATATAGTAGCAGCATGCTATGACAAACAGATAAACAGAGCAAAGCAAATTATACCTTCGTTTGTAAGAAGAACTTGTCCTATGTCTCTGTACCAGCTTTTTTTGTTTAGGCTTTAACATCATACAATTACAAACACTTGCTGAAAATCTTAAAGCTGTGATAGTCCTAAATTATGTTTCACCACTCAATTTTGTCACCTCCTTCTCCCCTTTTCCCAAACAGCCCTATATTCTGCACTTTCAAACTATCTGTTGATTCACAACACAAAACATGTATACAATATAGAAAAATTAATTGAATCCATTTTTAGAAGATCACTGATCAAGTATTTTCTGTTCTGTGTAAATACATTACAGTAGTTATTGCTCTCATTAAACAGTTAGCTTTCAAAAATAAATCCAACTTAATTAATTGTTTGGCAGGAATGGAATCGGGAATAAGCCAAAATGCAATTTACTTGTGTATGAGCATAGTGTTCCAATCGTGGTTTATGCAATAAGGTATTGTTAAAGCAAAGCAGATGACTTAGTGTGATGTGTAAACCCAGCCTACATCTCAGAGGGGGATAGATAAAGGGCATTTGATTTTGTTGATTGAAAGAAATGAAATGTATTTTCAGTCCTTGGTGCTCAGTTATTTATATTCACTCGCCCACCCTTATGCTTATTTCCAAATTTTAAAGATATTCAGTGTAAGGAAAACAGAAATGTAAAAGAAAATGTAAATATGCTGCTCTGGTTGAGTTTGACATTTTGCAGTGCTGCTCAGTAGGTGGAACTACCACTCAACATATAGGTCTTTATCACTGCTCACAGGGCAAGGCTCTTATGGTGTAGCTTCTCCAAACATGGATGCAGCCCAAGTGAGCAGAGTAGGAAGCTTCTGAGTATACTGGACAAAAGCATGCCATTATGCCATAGGAAGACACTCAAGTTCTACTCTACTCTCGAGCAGAGGAAAGGGAAGGTAGAATATCTAGGCAAGTAGAACCAGCAACCCTGTCCAGGTTCCGCGCAGCTCATGCTTGCAAGGGCACTAAAACAATGTCTGACACATTACTAAGACATGATAGCTATAGCTTCTTGAATATGTCACCGCTATCTGCAATTGCACAACACGCTAAGATATAAACCATAAAACATAATTTATTTAATAATAGTGCTGGGCAACATGTCCTTGAATTCTTTCAAGGTTTTGAGTTTTCAATGAGGCTTCTATTCCACAGAATTCAATAAAGGTCAAGTTTGAAATGAGAGAGTAGACAGTTCAAGAAGATTAATGACCATGATGAATAGGCACAAAACAATGTAACATTCATAGAATGTTACCTTGATTTCTTAAGGTACTTCTGAACTCCAAAGGGATCTCTTGGGTCATAGTGAACCACTGATGTTTTTAAAAAAATGGTGAAAGAAAACAAAAACCAAAATTGGTGAAAGAAAACAAAAACAATAAAAGAATGGAATATATTAACAGTGAGCAAAATAAGGTGAAAGTAAAACAAGAAACTAATGAAAAAAATAAGAACTGTGTAAAATTAATATAATTTAATCCAATCTTCCAATTTAGTATTAAATTTAGCCTTATAGAAATCTAATTTTCTATTCATTCATTTTTAGATTATGAGAGTTCAAAAATGGAAACCACATATCTTGAATCTATCCCTTAACATCAGGAGCATACATGTCTTTCCATTTACATAAATTATTATTTCTGCTGAGCTCCAAGATCTGCAAGGCCAAAGCTCTGTGAACCTTTACAAACAGGTTGCTATTGACCAAAGCAATATTCATGTCTCAATCCCCAGTGGGGCTAGGAGAGCGTTTTTTTAGGCCACCTCCCAATGATGTAACTCAATTCAGTAAATCCTTGAATTCAAATTAAAAGTGCTCAACAATTTTCAGTCGACCATGCCAACTACCTAGTGCCTCAAAAATCTTATATAACCCTAATGTCTAACCTGAAGAAAATGGCTTATAACTCATGAAGTCTCAGATGCTAGCTTCCAGGGCTTCATGGTCCTTGAAGAATGGTGTTCTCAAAACCTGCTGCCAGAACCTAGAAGGGGCCATCCAAAATGAAGAAAGCACTTTGCAGAAAGTCCAGTTTCGTTCTGAAAGTCAACATCCTTCTGATCTCGCTGTCTCAACCCATCCCTTGAAAGTATTGATGAGCTCAGGTGTACCTTGTGGAATTTTCTCTCTTGCTCCCTGCATAATATGACACCAGGCAGGACAAGTTGTTGACATATCACCATCCCCAAGTCCTCTTTGTCACAACAATGTGGATCAGCATGCCCAAGAACTTCCTTGTTAGTTACCTTTGGCATGGATCACTCATTATGCCTACCCCGTGCAGAAACAGTAGCGGTTGATTTAAAACTAGGCTTTGCAACTTCTCTGGCTATAAGTGGGCGAAATGCATATTTTAGTTTAGCCCTGTTGTGGGATCCCAAATGCTCCAAGTGAAGCATCCACAACAAATCCTGCCTCAACAGGGGTTGGCTCTGGCTTTTCTTCCCCGCCTTCTCCCTACAAAAGTCAACCGCGCCCGTGATCCTCTGGCTTGTAAAGCCTGTGCGCTTCTAAAGACGGATCCCCACCCTCGCCCCCAATCCCCACGCGGTGCGACTTACCCTTCGCAACGGAGCACGGCGTCCCACGGCGCACAGTCGAAAGCGCCCTGGCTTCCGTTCTGGCAGCTGCAAGGGCGGGTCAACTTTGAGCGCCACCCTTGTCTCCTTCCCAGCCGCGGTCCTGCGCGGCCGAAGGCGACCTTTCCTCTGACTTTTAAGGGCCGGGGAGATTGCTTCTCTGTTTTTTCCCTATGAAAAGACGGCCTGGAATTATTGTGCGGGGAAAGCAAACAATGGCGGGAATGACTGTTCAAATGCACAAGAGTTCTTAGAAAAAGTATCCTGAGGGGGATTTAAAAAAAAGAAAAGTTTTTCGCCACGTCCTCGTGGCGTCACACCGGTTCATGTTGGTTTTATTATTTTAGAATGTTTATATTTTTGTGGCAACGTACACGAATCGAGCATTTATTTTATTTATTTCACCGATATATGAAATTCATAACTCCGGTTACCATAAATAGAATTGAAGAAAGATTTTGTTTTCTGCAACTTCTTGTTGGTTAATTCTAAATGCTCACATCCCAATCCCATAAATTACAAAAGATTAAATAATGCACATTCCCAAAATTGGAGTTGCATGCTCCAACAGAGAGATAGTTTAATATTAAGGATTTAATATATCCTTCATTTTAGATGTGTTTATTGCATCTCAGTATTTCTAATAAGGCTAGCAGTATTGCTAGCAGTAAGGCTAGCAGTAATTAAGTAAATAGCCAGAGTACTAGCTGCAAGGGAATATCCAAGCAGCTTTAAGAATTTTCTTTCAGCATTACTTCTGTTATCTCCATGCATAAAGGTATAAAAGAGGAGTAAATCACATAAAGATAACCTAGTGGGTTTTTTTTACTTCCTATTAATAGCTATATATATTTTCACAGATACACCCCCACCCCCACCCCCCCCAAAGTCCTGCTGAGTTGCTTCATTGTGACAGGGAGTGCTCCTGGGAGCAACAAAGAGTATTGGGAGTTTGTGCCAACAGTATATATATTTACCAACTGGATCACTCAGTATATTAAGATCATTCCAGCTGCCTGCTAAGGGAAGTGGGCACCTATATTAGGCAGCAGTGATATAGGAAGATGCCAGAAGCCATGATAATGGCAAAGGCATCAATTGTGTGGGAGAAAGCAATAGTATTTTATACTGTATATTTATCAAAACAAAAAAACCCCAATGGATAGAAAATATAGAATGATTGCTTGGCAATGGGTTCCTCCTGCATACTACTGAGGAAGAGCTGATGATCTTTTAGAGTGCTGTTGGTGTTTATGACAAAGCTAAACTCTTCAGGATGTCAAGTTGCTGATGTTGTCATATAAGAAAATAAAATCCAAAGCTGCAAAGATAGAATTGCAGTTAGGGACATGGAACGTAAGAAGCATAAACATAGGAAAACTCAACCCTGTAAAAGATGAAATGAAGCAACTACAAATTGACATCTTAGGCATTACCAAATTGAGATTGATGGGATAGGACACTTTCTGTCAGAGAGTCATACTCTTTATTACTCAAAACATGAAAAAACTAAAAAAACAGCATTGCTCTTATAATTAGGAAAGATATAGCAGGAACAGTACTTGGCTACAGTGAAATCTGTGACTGAATAATATCAATTAGACTTCACGGGCAACCCTTTAATGTGATAGTCATTTAAATTTATGTTTCAACCACCAGTTCAGAAGCAAAGGTTGAAAAAGGAACTTGTCATTGAGTCCCATCCTAGAAGTGAAATCATTTACAAATTTGGAAACTGGACTACCTGATCAGAAAACTAAGCCTCAGACAGCCTTCCCTGTCCGAGGGAAGATTTACACTGTTTAGAAGGAAACCTATAGGATCACCTGTTAAACTAACGAAATTTGGAGAGAGAACTCAGGTGCAGAGTTCTCTCCTGGATGAAGTTCCAGTTTAAAATTGAGAGAACATACAAGATGTGCTGCTTGTGGTTGGAAACTGGAATGCCAAAACTGGTAACACAAGAAGAAAATGTAGTTGGAGGGTAGCAAATGAAAAGGAGACCAACTTATCAATTTCTCCCACACCAATGGGAGCTGTAGTGATGACACTACCCTGACCCTTATATATATAAAATAATTGCATGAATATGAATATGTTACTACAAAAACACTTTTAAGACTTTGTTTATAAGAACAATACCACACTAAAGTTATGCCAGCTCCAACTTATTTCTATGTATTGTAAAGTCGCATACATATGAAAGGGGCAGAATTTGCCTTACAATGGTGTGATTTGACAAAAGCAGATTCTATACATTTATCTGGTTGTAAAGCGAGGCTGTCAGAAGCTGAGTGTAGGCTACAAATGGAAATCATATGACCGTGGGAAACTCTGACTATTGTAAATATGTGCCAGTTGCCAAGTGCTTTGAGGATGCTGCCCCACATGACCCAGGGGATGCTGTGTCTGTCCTAAGCTTGAGGACCAGTTGTAAATCTTTTTCAGTGCTAAGTTTCAATGGTCACTAAACAGGGCAGGATTATATGTACAGTTTCCACACTCTAATTTTGACAGAGTATCTCAGGCAGGGCCATGTTAGTTTCTGCCTGTATACCCATGAAACACTATAACTATGCAAATTTTGGGGAAATTGTTCATTGAAAAAGGAGTACCAGTCCTTTCTGGATAGGTTGGAGCAGATAAGGAAAACAATAAACAGAAGTTCCAACAAACAGTTCTCAACAAAATGATAGTTTGTTTTGGTATCTTTAATCCTATGAGAGGGACACGGTTGCTCAGTGGCTAAGATACTGAGCTTGTCAATCAGAAAGGTTGGCAGTTTGGCGGTTTGAATCCCTAGCACCATATAACGAAGTGAGCTCCCATTACTTGTCCCAGCTTCTACCAACCTAGCAGTTTGAAAGCATGTAAAAATGCCAGTAGAAAAATAAGGACCAACTTTGGTAGGACGATAACAGCGTTCTGTGTGCCTTCGGGGTTTAGTCATGCCTGCCACATGACCACAGAGACATCTTCGGACAGTGCTGGCTCTTCGGTTTTGAAATGGAGATTAGCACCGTCCCTTAGAGTCAGGAATGACTAGCACAAATGTGTGAGGGGAACCTTTACCTTTACTAATCCTATGTAGCCAGTAGATCTAATTTCAGCTCTAAAAATTCATTGTACCTGAGGATATCCACTATTGTAATCTATTTCATGCATCAGTCATTAGAGAAATTTAGGCTTTGTCATTTCTGACTTCTGAGGGGCCACCAATTTTTAAGTCAGTAATGTTTAACTTCCTCTCCCCTGCTGAAAGAAGAGCAAAGTTGTGGAGGGGACTTAATGCTCTTGATTTTTGAAAATGAATTCCAGTTAGTGGGCCTCTATATTAGTTCTATTTGCAAGCATCAATAACTCCCCACTGCTACCTTATAACTTGAGCCATTCTATCTAATCTCTACAAGAATAATCTGGAAAATGATCACCCAATTATCCCATCATGTACAATTGACAAACTCTATACAAAATGTTTTTGTAATAAACTTGCAGAGTGCATAATCCCAGCATGCACCTTTCATAGAATAAACAACTTTCAGATTAGCTCACTTGACTGTTGATCAGTGTAAAAAACTCAACACCATCTGGCTGAGAAATATTTAAGTTCTTAAGAAGTTAGTGGGGAAGATTTTATGATTGGTTAGAGAAACACATACAGAAAAGAATGTAAGGGGAAGATATGGAACCCAGACGATACGCCATTAAGTAGAAAAGTGGGGGAAGAGGGGAGAAATTAGAATAGTATATAAGTATATTCAAAAGTAAGGGTAAAAATATATAATCAAGATAGATTTGAGAAGGAAAGGGAACAAGAAATGATACTCAGCTATTTTTGGGTTTGCAGAAATACCACCTCGAGAAAATAAAAATTAAGAGGTGGACAAGACAGCTACAACAATAGAAAAAGAAATGAAGAGAGGAGATTGGAGGAAGAGGAGGGAAGGAAGATAGAGGTAAGGAGAGGAAGATGGAAGGGAGAGAGAAGAGAGTAGGAAGAGGAAAAGAGGAGTAGGGAAGAGGTAAGGGAAGAAGAGAGAAAAGGAAGGAAGGAAGTAGAGAAGCGAGGGAGAAAAGAAAGGGAAAATTAGGTGGTGTCAAAACAGGCGAGGGATGGTAAACAAAGCAACCCAAATGCTATGTTATAATCCTGTAAATGGACCGACAAATGCTTAAGAATGACAAATGTAAAAAAGAATAATAACTATGTGTGTAGGAGAACAAAAAATAAAAACTTTTCTGAAAAAGAGAAGTTTCCTTTATACTCCATTATCAACTAGAGGCTGGGGAAGAATTTATATGTTTCTATTGACTCATGACCTTCTCAAGCTGATAATGCTTCTGTATAGGAGCATTTTTATGCAAATCAAATGTAAAAACAATAAAGAATTCCCTCTCACGTGCCCGTCAAAAGAAATCAAGCAGAGGTGGTGTCTGGGTTCTTGCAATTGATTTTTTATATTAATCATTCTGGCTCCTGCCATTTGGAATTTTATCCTTCAGCTCTCACCCATGTCTATTTAACTCTATTCCAGGCTGGCCAACTGGAGAATTGTGGGAGTTTGAAGTCCAAACAATTTCAAGTGACCAAGGTTGGGAAACACTATTCAGATGATAACATTATTTTAGCATATCCCAAGTTGGCCTTTGCAGATGAATAGGAGCAGTAGTGTCCCTTTTTCCCCTTTAAGAATGACTTAGAGATTAAGTATACTAAAATAAAGCTGCTAGTTTCCATTAAAATCATTTTATTCTTTCTGATATTTGGCAAATAAATGGTAAACCTATTGAAAAAATCAAGTACTTTAAATATTTAGGTATATAACCACCTACTTTCTGGATAAATTGAGCTCTCATTAAAGTACAAACTATCCAATGAAATGAACATATTGATTTAAAGAGAATGTAGGCCTCTTGCTGAAAATACACACACACACAAACACACGCACACATGCTTGTTTTGTTGTATTCGGGTCTTTTCCTTTGTAAGATTGAGATTGTCTTGGCAATGTTTCTGCGAGGTCTCACTCATCCTCAGGCTGCTGTTTTTGGCTGAGGATGGTGAGACCTCGCCGAAACATTGCCAAGACAATCTCAATCTTACACGGGAAAATAGCTGAATACAACAAGACCAGAATACCTACACCTGTGAAAATCTACATACATACATACATACATACATACATACATATATATATATATACACACACACACACATATACATACACACACACAATTGTAACATCTGACTTGCCAATTGTGAAAACATTAATTTTCTGTGAAAATGTAGGATATTAAACAAAAGCACATACAATGTCTCACAAAATTTTGCTGTTTATTCAAATAAATAGAAATGTTGCAAGTTTACAAAATCACTGTGCTATTCTATATATACAAAGTACTAATAAAATATTTTTGTTCAGAACACGTGGAATAGAGACAGCATATTTCCTTTTGTTTCTGTTGTGAGAATGAAAGTTAATTCATAAACTTCAGAGTCATCCTCGAGCACATCCAGGAAGCTGAAATAAACCATGGAAAAAGTTTTTGTTTTCAGTCTTCCTTTAACTCCTCTGGATCTCAGCATGCATTCAGATGTTTCCCACTTTTTCAGTAACGTGAAGCTGTTCTAAACATATTTGGAACAGATTCAAATTACACAGGAGTCCTCAATCTTTACAAAGGTTAACAAAATAAATCACTGTGTTATAACAAATTGAACAGAGATGATAAAAATTGAACACTCATATTTGGCTGGTTTTAGTAAAACCCATATACATTTGAGGCATTAAACTTCACCATTCTCATCTTTCACATTCAAACATTTATATTATCCTAGCAAAGAATAACACACAAATGAGTTGCATTCCTGTGTCTTTTTCCTTAACACTATGCAATGATTTTTTTAAAAAAAGATGCTGGATAGAGAACACTAATCCATTCAAGAAGTGAAGCAGATTTCCAGAAGGAGAGGTGGAGGGAGGATGCTCTTTTGGCAGACATATTTGACACATATCTTGGGAGACAATGGTTAAGCACCTTTCTGATGCGCTATCAAGCAAAGATGGTGTTGGCTGGGGAGTGACAATCCCTTCAAAGGGCATTTTACACAAATCTACCGTTGTACAACGTGAGGCCACCTTGCTGCCTTAGCAACCGCTGGTTATTAGAACGGGCAGGGCTTTCCGCCTGGGTGTTTCCGAAGAAAAGGCACAAAAAAGAAAACCACACCCACCTCCCCAGGAAAGACAAGAGGCCGAAATCCACTCCCGTGCTCTACAGTACGACCCATAAGTAGAAAGTGAGGTGCTTTTTTTCTCTCCCTCGCAGGAATAAGCTAGAAAGCAACCAGAAAACGGAATGGTAAGCATTTGTATTCGCAAACGGTGCTTTTTTTCGGAAGAGCGCCGTGCCGAAGGCCCACCACGCCGCTTGTGAAAGGCTGAGGAACCACAAGCCCGGCCGCTCAAAGGGTGCTCAAGTGAGGCAGGGTGTCCATCTTGCCCGCCCGGTCCCGGGCAGCGGCGCTTTCCACACCGCGGAGCCATTCGGTGCACTTACGCACCAGCCCTTCGTCAGCGGCGAAGGCTCCGGGGTCTCCCGCCGCCTCGTCTTCCTCGTACTCCACGTCGTCGTAGCGGTGGCGCTCGTTGAGCAGCGACACCTGCAGCAAGGCGCGCAAGTCCCCCTCGGGCGACGAGGTTCCCGCCAGAGGACACCTGGAGGCGTCGGGGGAAGCGAAGCGGGCCACCCGCCCTCGCGGCCGCTGCTTCTCCAGGCTCCGCCGCTGCAAGACCCGGATCGCCTCCGGGGGAAGGCTAAGCGAGAAGCGGAGCGAAGCTTCTCCGCGGCCTCCCGGCGCCGCGCAGAGGCTCTCGTAGGAGCGCGTGCCAGCGGCCGGCGGCCCGGAGCGGCCCCGGCTGCGAGACAAGGCAGCGCTTAAGGCAGCTGCTGCTGCCGCCACCACCCCTGCAGGTGAAGGAGGGGCGGTGGCGCTGGCAGCAGCTGCTTTAAGCGCTGCCTTGTCTCGCAGCCGGGGCCACTCCGGGCCGCCGGCCGCTGGCACGCGCTCCTACGAGAGCCTCTGCGCGGCGCCGGGAGGCCGCGGAGAAGCTTCGCTCCGCGTCTCGCTTAGCCTTCCCCCGGAGGCGATCCGGGTCTTGCAGCGGCGGAGCCTGGAGAAGCAGCGGCCGCGAGGGCGGGCGGCCGCTTCGCTTCCCCCGTCCCCTTCAAGCGAANCGCAAGCGACCGTCAGCGCCAGCAGCGCCAGCAGGCTCCGCGCGGCCTCCGGCATGGCCCCGCCGTCCTCGGGGCACCCTGAGGGTACCCGACGAGCCACGGTCGCCTTGAGCCGGCGCGGCGTCCGGGCTTCTCCCGGAGATTTGCCTCCGTTGCTGTTCGCTGCCACAGGTTGGAAACTCCGCGCGGCTCCGGGCTGGGTTTTCTGCATGACGTCACGGGGGGCGTGTGGGACAGGCCCCCAAGTCGCCCTCCCTCCCCGTCTCTCCAGGGATCCAAAACGGGGATCCCGGAAAGGAGGGTTGGTTGGAAAGACTCCAGGGAGAGCCGGGTGGTGGCCGGAGTGCCGATGCGAAGCTGCTGGACTCGGGCGACGGGAAGGAAGGCGGAGAAAACTTGGCAGGCAGTATCCCAAAGGTGATTTTTCCCCCCAGAGCTGAAGAAGCTGCTTGGATGAGAAGCGAAACGTCTTCAAAGGAAAACAAAGAAAGTCCAGTTGCGTCTTGAAAAAAGCACTTTGGGGACAACCATGATCTGGATATCTACAGACTTTTCGCCATACAATTTGGGATGAACACCCTTGGAATGGTACCTAGAAATGGATTTCCTTGTATGTGACTGTATGAAAAGGAAAAATGGAAAATAAAAACATTTTAACAATAAAATAAAAAAATAAAAAATAAAATAAATAAAATAAAAAAGCGAAATGGATTTCCAGAGGGGAGGGGGGGATTGACTACAGGAACCATTTGCACCACTCAGGTGACCCTGAGGACACAGAAAAACCTCCCAGTTGTCTCAAGGACCTTCTAAAAGGATGCAAATGACCTGCTGTCTGTAAGGAATATCAATCCGTCCATTCCCCACCATCCAGTGAGAGCTGAAGACGCTTCTTGGATGAGAAGTGAAATGTCTTCAAAGAAAAAACAAAGGAAGTTCAGTTGCCTCTTGAAAAAAGCCCCTTTGGGACAACCAGGACCTGGATGGCTGAGAATCTCTCCAGACGTTTAGCTATACAATTTGGGATGAGCACCCTTGGAATGGGATGGGAATAGGAACGGATTTTCAAAGGAGAAACTGCAGGCAACAAGAACCAGGAGCACCACTCAGTTGACTCTGAAGACACAGGTAAACCTCCAAAGGCTTCAGTGACCCTCTAAAAGGATGCAAATGCCCAGCTGTCTGCAAGAAGCATAAATCCTTCCTTTCCCCACCATCCAGTGAGAGCTGAAGAAGCTTCTTGGATGAGAAGTGAAATGTCTTCAAAGAAAAAACAAGGAAGTCCAGTTGCCTTTTGAAAAAAGCACCTTTGGGACAACCATGACCTGGAGGACAGAGAATCTCTTCAAACTTTTAGCTACATAATTTGGGACAGACACCCTTTGATGGTGTGGGAGTAGGAAGGGATTTCCAGAGGGGGGGAGGGAATTGCAGACTACAGGAGCACCAATCAGGTGACTTTGAGGACATAGATAAACTTCCAAGTGCTTCAATGACACTCTCAAAGGATGCAAATGACCAGCTGTCTGCAAGGAATAAAAATCCTTCCACTCCCCACCATCCAGTCAGAACTGAAGAAGCTTCTTGGGTGAGAAGTGAAACCTCTTCAAAGAACAAACCAGAAAGTCCCGTAGCTTCCTGGAGGGGGTGAAGCACCTTTGGGACAACCCCGACTTGGATAACAGAGAATCTGCATAGACATCAGGAGCCGGTGGTTGTGGGAAGGGGACTGGAGTCGCCCGTGCAGTGCAGGCTTCACTGTGAGGCTCCTGGGACCATCCAGCTTGCGAGCCTAGAGCGAATTGGGGACAGAAGGAGCTGCTTCACTTTGCCAACGCTTCGCCAACTTCACTGGCCACTGCTGAGAATGGAGGGGCTTTCTCATCCGCCCCATAAAGTCCTTGGGTAAACCAAGCCCAGGTGGGAGGCTCTCCCCAGCTTTCTTGCAGGAGGGGCTGTGTTCAGACCACCAGATTTGACAGTGGAGTAGAAAGCAGCGAAAGAAAGAGACAGCTAAAGAAAAGGGGAGGCAGGATAGCAAGGTTCCAATATTTGAGGGGCTGCCACAAAGAAGCGTGACCCGTCAAAAGCGCGAACGTCATAAGCGCGCCGACAACACCGCGGCGCTAAAACCGCGATGTCAAAAGCGCGCCGACAACAGTGCGCCGACAACAGCGCGATTTAATTTAAGGTAAGATTTACAGTTAGGTTTAGGGTTAGGGTTAGGTTTAGGGTTAGGTTTAGGTTTAGGGTTAGGTTTAGGGTTAGGTTTAGGTTTAGGTTTAGGGTTAG